CATTAAATATGACTTGATGGTAGGGAAAAGAAAATTGTTGATAAAGTAATACATAAAAAAAAAAAAAAATTGTATTTGAAGGAAGAAAACTTTGAAGGTATTATATGATATTTAATTTGACTTTTAGTACGTTAAAGTAACTTACAAACTAGTATAGAAAAAAAAAAGTATTATTTTCATTATAATTTATATAAGGGTAAAAAAAAAGTTTTAAAAAATAAACTATATAAAAATAGTTATTTTGTAGTTTTATGTTTATTTTCTAAAAAATAAATATATTAAAATTTAACTTTTTTATAATTTTAATTAAAAAAAGTTATTTAAAAATAATAATTATTTTACTAAATAATTTATAATTCAAGTAAAAGTATATTGATTAAATATATTTTAACGATTATAACTTATAAGTCAATAGACATATTAATAGGGCCAGAGAACCATTGCTACACAATCCTACCATATATGTATACATAATTTACATAATAATTGTTTTATGTATTTTGAATGAAGAAGACTTTGAAGGTATTAAACGATATTTACTTTAATTTTTATCGTGTTAAAGTAACTTATAAGGTAATATAAAATGTTAAAAAAATGTTGTGAATATTATTTTTCAACCATGCATATAATCACACAACATAAAGAGTAAGAAAAAAACATACACAATATTTTACGTGGTTCGATAAAGATACATATATCAACAATTAAGATTGATAAGAAATTTTTTCGCTACGAAAAATAATAAAAGTACATCAAATTAGTCAAATTGCAAATCATTATATATACAAATACTTAAGTTTTTTTTTTTTTCAAAACATTCATAGAATATATCATAATTTTCTCACAATATATACATAATCAAATTGCATACAAAATATTTACTCAACATCCATAAACATTCTTATGAATATATCTATAATCAAACCACATTAACAAAACTTTGAATACCTTATTTATATTCGCAGACAATAAAACGAGCCATTACCCAATTCTTGTCCTTATAAAATGAGTTTATAAACTGAAATCTCGATTTGCATATTTTGGAACCTCAACATCAATAATATTGTGAGGTGTGTATATTGAAGATCATTTCATGCATTAGAAGAATCTATAAAACATATTTGTACTTACAAAATTCTTATGGAACGGTGAACTAGGTTTGTCAATCAGATAATTTTAGTTATATTTTTAGATAGTTAACATTTTTTAATATTAGTAATAGATTTATCATGACCATAATTTATGAGATCCATTTCTTCCTTATATATAGAGCTCACCTGATATCAATAAAAGTAATTAAATAATTTATAATAAATTAATAAATATATAAATTTTTATTATTTATATTTACAGCAGTCAATAAATAGTCAATATAATTACACATCAAATTTAATTTAACACATAAAGAATTTGTTTTGAGATCACCGGTAAGTAATGAGATTAACTAAAGTTTAATAAAAAAACTTCTATTTAAGTTATATTTGAAATTTTAAGGTAAATAATAAATTGACAGAATTTGCTTTCTGCTGAAAGATTAAATGACATTTAGACTCCATGACATAATGAATAAGGCAGTAATTTATGGAATTGGAAATTCTTGTTTCGATCCCCAGTTGGCTTGTACACAGTCTTTTTGGTTGTATCAAATAAATTATTGGTTCTCAAAAAAGTTTTTATGCTCCGATTTTTGGTAGGTTGTTTATGGGTTTTCATTTTTATCTATTTCTATTTTTATTAAAATCATCTAATCCAATTTTCTATCAAAGTCAGGGAAGTATCGGATTTGTTGATATCCACCATGAACTCGTCTCGTTTTGTACAGGCTCCACAAGAAAATTATGCCATCTTTGTTAAGAGGCCTGTACATAAATGGGTGTTGGTGAATTAGAAGGGCAGATATGTCATTTTATATTTTAGTAGATGAAAGATTTTGAGAGGGAAAGTCATCACATGAAGTTTATCAAAATCTAATTTTCCCAATTGAAAATCAGTAAAAAAATATTTTCCCATTCTTCATCCAAAATTTCGTTAGCGGAAGAGAGCGCCACGAGTTAACGATGGCGTCCTCATTCGCCTTGCCCGCTTCCTCTTCATTTTTCTGTGACAGCAACAACGCTCAGCGTTGCTCTTGCTATAATCTCTTGCGCCACGCAAGGTTACCAGTGTCAAATGCAGGGCGGAAGCTTAGGGGGAGGTATTTTAAGACATCCATTTCCATTTGTGCCATTGTTGCAGAGAAGAAGAGCGCGATGCAGTATAGGAAGCTAGGTGACTCTGATCTTCAAATTAGTGAAATCACTTTGGGAACGGTGAGAAGTTTGCTTTCTTAGTAATCGGTATTTTACTTTTGGCTTCTTTTCTATTGCATTTCAGTTAGATTTGTCCGTTATGGCTTTCAACTAGTAAGTGTGTCTAGCGTCGTCCTTGTTTTGTATTTCGAAGTGAAGATTTCTTAATGAAGCGGGCCGTTACTTGTTTATTCAAGGTAATTAAAGATGCAAGTAATCTGTCTTGAAATATATTTTAAATTAACTACAGCTAGAAATGAATTCTTCTATGATATCCTCCGACGTCAATGCAGGGGTATGGTGCCTGCCTCTTATGCAATTTTGGTCTTAATTCTATCCACTATAATCTATACTTGTGATTCTGTTAGCCCTTGGCGGTAAATGGTAATCACGCAAGTTTTATCTTGTAATGAATATATCCACAACCTGCATGAGTCACCATAGCTGGAGAGCAGGGGTTGATTCGGTTAATTAAATATGTAGAAGAGCAGGAGTTTATATGTAAATGGATTAGATATAAGATTTTAGATATAGAAGGAGGAGTTAAGGTGAATGAGTGACAACTAAAGCTGGTCATTTTTGCTACTTAGAATTAACTATTCATAAGGAAGAAGAAAATGTTGCATATGTTATGTGAACTTGGAAAAATGGATACGTTCTTGTCCTATTTTGTTTCCACATATGTTACTGATAAAGTTTTGTTACATTAGAAATCTCTGATTTTAGTTATGCTCTACTAAACTGAATGTAGATAGATAAGGAACTGGTTGATCCGATATCTTATAGCTATGTCATAAGCATCTATATACATGGTTTTGAGTGTGAGTCTTTGTTTCTTTGCTTATGGTTGTGCCTATCTCTTTAGCAAGAATGGAACAAGTTACTCCAGCGCCAGGAAAATTACAAGTTTCCTATCATTGCATGGATGTTGATTATTTGTTTTCCCTTTTTTTTTTTTTTTTCCAATAGGAGTCTTAATAAACAGTTTTGAGTTTTTTTTTTTGTAATAATCTTTGACAGTTTGATTTTATAAAAAGAATGTTTTAATTTTCAGTTGAAAACTATATATGGCATCTTTACTACTGAACCTTTACAGCTTGAATGGTTGGGAAATACTTTTGTAAATGAACTTTTGACTTAAGTCAATTGTAACTTCCCTGATGTTGTATTCAAATGCTTCAGATGACATTTGGAGAACAAAACACAGAGGAAGAAGCACATGAAATGCTCAATTATGCATTTGAGCATGGCATCAATGCTATTGACACTGCAGAGGCTGTAAGTTCTTTTGCACAGCTTTGTCAACTATATAAACACAAACCAACTCCTTTCTTCAGTAATTATTCATGAGATTAAAGTATCATCAATTTTTGACTTTATTTTCTTTGATGATATGAATCATGTAAAGAAACTTATTGGGTTAACCATATTGCTGCTAGAAATTGGAATGCACTTAGTGATGAGATTACTGCTGGTTACAAAACAATGAAATTGAAGGTTCTTACTGACAAGACTCCCAACTAAAAAATGAGAAAAATAGCAACCGAAGGGGAGCAGAAAAAACCAAAATGATGGAGAAAGGATTGTTTGTCTTATATTATTTGAAATAATGATGAATGGTTGTGTCGCAAACTGCAATAATTTATGTTTTACTTTATTGTGGCTGTCCTCAATGATCTTATTTGTAGATATACCATAATTCCAACTTCAGACAAAAGAAGAAATTATCCATCTGCCTTTTTTGGAAGATTTGGTTCCACTAAATTTGATGTGTCCTTACAAGGAGATTTCTATTTATTCAGATTTCTTAGTGCCCCTTCAATTAGTTGTCAGTTGTTAGTTGCTTGTTGTGATTTCAACCTTTTATTTTGTAGTACCCAGTTCCAATGAAGAAGGAGACTCAAGGGAGAACAGATCTATATATTGGTAGTTGGTTGAAATCTCAGCCTCGGGATAAGGTATATTGGTGATAATAAATTAGCTGCAAATAAAGCTCTGTTATTTGTTGACCTAGGGAAAAATTGTTTGATTGACATTTCATGACTTCTAGGAATATAATAATTGCATCAAGATCACTGATTACTTGACTGCATCCCAATGATATGATCCTTACAATTTCTTTCCAAACTGCTCTCAAATGTTTTAGCAAAATCCTCCTGCAAAAATCTGTTATGCTGGTTTGATAGACTATGATTTTTTTGGGAAGCTTGGTTGTCTCTGAAGGTGGAAAATTCATGCATGTTTCATTTATGAATCATCTCAAAGGTATATCAGATCCCTTTTAATATTTTTGCATGCTTTTTGTAAGGTCTTTCTGACGCAGTCCTGATGCATAACAAGAAGACTCTAAAACGCACATATTTCAGTGATAAAAGATATTTATGTAATTATAACATTAATATATTATTAAGGTGTTTAACTTAGTTAGAAATTATTAAATATAGGTTTAGTTTTACTATGAATTTGTTATTTTTTATTTAGTTAGGATGCTATTTAATTATTCTATAGATTATTCAATTAATAGGGTATTTTAGTTTAGTTATTTGCTAGACTAGTTAGATAATTTTTATATGAAAAATTGAGTTACTTGATTTGATTATTAAGACCTAAGATCTCTGGTTTTTCTTCTTAATAAATTTTCTGTAAATATTGTGCGTAAACTCTCTTTGTCCTACATTAATTAGTGTAAGAGCCTAACTTAAATCATCACATTACTATAATTTTGTACACACACTCACAACCTACTCCCAAAACAGTAGCATCACAAACCTCAAAGCAAAATGAAGAAGAAACTGTAATTACGATTCACTATGCAGCAGTACACACATGTCTAAGTTAGAGTCTATTGGCTATAAACAGCGTCAGTGCCCTGACCATCAAAAGAAGAGGACATTGACTAGCCTACTCACCAGATCTCAAGCCACTGTGGTTGCTGCTTCCTTCCTAGGATCCAATAACCTACTGCGACAACAGAATCAAGGTTCCCACATGGCTCCTTGGCTGGAAGAGAGGTAATAAATTACCACTAGTAGCAAGAGCATGACTTGCTCCTGCCTACCGGTGCTTGTGGGTTCAGAAATTTTGAAGCCTCTGTTGGTTCATTCAAAGCGGTTTGACTCAATTCAGTTTGAATTTTCTAGTTCAACCATCTTCAAATTGGTTCTCAACATTACAGAATAGCATCAACACAAAGTTCATGACTCATAAGTCACAAAAGCGTGCAACTTATTACAATTATATGACAATTGCACTCACAAGCTTCAATTGTTAGGAAGACAAGTATTAATTCTTATATTGTTTTCTACTGCAACATTTCAAACTCAAAGTCGAGTTTTTACCAAGTGAGGCAGAATGATGCAGACAAAGAAGACCTTGAAATGGATATAATTCAATTATTAATAGGTACTTATGTAATCGTGATGTTTCTGTATAACAAAGTATTTAACTTGTTTAGCGATTAATTATAATTAACTATTGTTTCAAGAGCAGTGGGAAAGGCTAATCTTCTTGGCTACCTTATGTGCTAGAACTCGTGGGAACTATTCTGATCTAGCGATCTCCGAGCCTCATCGGAATTGGTTGGCAATTATTTTGGTTCCATGGGCAGTTTCAGTTTCATGTTCATTTTGATTCTTATGTAATTGATTTTTTCTTTCTACAATTCTTTTAGGACGATGACTTGTTCGCAGTATATATATTATTTTCTTTGCTTTCCTAACATTACTTTCTTTACTAAAACATTAATTATAAATTTATTATTACTTTGAGTTTATTATTTTTTATTTAGTTAGGATGCTATTTAGTTATTCTTTACATCTTATTCAACTAATCAGTTTATTTTCCTGTATATTAGATTTTTTAGATTGACTTAAGCTTTGTTACTTTGATTATATTTTAGTGCGAATAGATAGAATACCATAGTTTAGTTATTTGGTAGATTATTCATATAATTACCATACAAAACATTGAGTTACTGATTTAATATTCAATATCCAGTATCTTCAATTATGGTTCTTAATAAATTTTTTCTAAATGCTGTCCTCAAGCTCTCTTTGTCCTATGCTAAGCTTTGGTATGAGTGATAATCATAGGGATCCATAATAGATCACTCATTTATATTTTTGAGAAGAATTAATTACTCATCTATTTTTTTTGACAAATAAGTACTCATTTATTTAATAAACTTTTAATGATGTACATATTTTTGAATATGCAAGTGTCATGTAAAGAAGGTGATTTAATAACATAATATTTTGCTGAAAGCTTTAAAACTTGTATAGTCTCTGGTCATTGGTGCTTACATGGTCTCTGGTCATTGGTGCTTACATGGATATTCATGTCATGTGCAGGTTATTTTGGCAACAAAAGTCTGTGGTTATTCGGAGAGATCAACTTACCTGCGTGATAATGCCAAGGTTTTAAGGGTAGATGCTTCTAATATTAGAGAGAGTGTAGAAAAAAGCCTCAAGCGTCTCAACACTGATTACATTGATTTGTTGCAAATCCATTGGTACTCATTTTTTTTGCTGCAATTTTAGAATTTTTCATTAGTCATAGGCCAAAAGGATTGCATTTTTCTCTAAGTTGATTTTGTGTTGGTTAACTGGTTGGATTTTCAACAAATCGTATCCTAGTGCTTGTTATGACCATGGAAAACAGAGACAACCTTTTACCACTAATTGTTTATTTTATATGAATAATTTTTTCTTTACAGAAATGATTTTTTCTTTACAGAAACAGACTTATAAAGCTTTGGTTCATCTTATCAAGAAAACAAAATTCAAATCAGAAGGGAAGGACAGCAACATATAAAAAAGAACTAACTTCTTTGTTTTCCTTTTGTTTTAAAGAAAAAATTACTCTCTTAGCACCTAGTCTTCCACCCATCCAATTTAGACCTCTCTCCTAAACTTTTGGGATATATTCCTGGTGTTTTTCTTTTGCAGGTACTCTATAGTTTTTTAGACTAATTTAGGATCAATCCATAGCAAATTAGGGTTAATTTGCTTACTTATGAACTTAGGGATAAAAACCTAGATATTGCACCTAAAATTTCTTAGATGTTGTATCTAAAAAGTCTTTAGCATTTTGGTTGCTTCATACAACCATAAAATTGAGAGTCTCTCTAAATAGTATTGAATAACTTAAACCTCTCTCAGAAAGTTAAGTAATAATAATATTTATAGTGCTCTTAAGTAACTTTTACTAAATATAATTAAACTAAGAAATGCTAATACTAATAGGATTAAGAAATAATATTATTAATACAGGTAAAAAACTAAATATTATAAAGAATGTACCTTAAAGTTACTAAAACTATAATAATAGATTCCTAAGTAGTATTTTCTAATCTATTTACCCAATTTAAAGCTAATCCATTTTGTATTATTCTTTCTTGGTTGGAGAAAACTTATCCACGAATTTAAAAAAAATTAACTTCGAGCTTACCCATGAAAAAATTAGCAAAAATTTTGTGCATAATCATTTTCTTTATACCAAAGATATTGAGTGATTACAATTGTTAAGGAGTGTGAAATTCTAGCGGGAGGATGAAATCAACGACTTGATTGGTGTGTCAAGTTCTCCTTTCATAGAACTTCCATGGAATTGTTTCTTTTTCTTTTGTTTTTTGTTTTGGGGGGGCGAAGGGAAGAGATGGTGATTCTTTGTGCTTCTCCACTTTAGGGTCTGTAGATATATACCTCACTATAGACAAAGAGAAGTATTTACTTGTTGGGCAACCTACTGATTTACTTCGTGTCATTATTAACCATTCCAATGAATATGGCCAAAAAACTGGAGGCATTCAGTGCAGGTTTCTTTGGGTGATATGGAGGGTTGTAGGAGACATAATTTGGTGACATGGAGTGAAGTCAAAAAACCAGTAGCCCTTAGTGGTTTGAGTTCGAGGCCTTTGGTGGAAAATGAATGAGGTGCTGCGGGGTAAATAATTGTCGAGGTTTTTGATCAAAATGAATGAGAAGAATGCTTACAGCTAAATATGACATGGATGAGAGAGGTTGATTCAACTAGACTGGGTCCAAGACCACATGAAAAGGCTTTTGGAAAAAGATTGGCCTTGGTAGGGATAATTTCCAAATGAACATTAGGTGGAGGGTTGGAAAGAGGGATAGGATGAGACATTGAGCGAACCGTGGTTGGAACGTGCTTCACTTAGAGAGCAGTTTCAGATATATGCTGTAGCTCAGCAGAGAGAGTTCAATATTTGTGATGCAGTTTTGGAGACTGGAGGAGGAGCAAAAGAATGACAGGTTTTAGTACGGAGAAATTTGAATGTCTGAGAGATTGTTGAATATGAGAATTTGTTAAGAACTCCGTCCAGTCCCCGTAACTTTGGATGGTAGCAATGACATACCATTGTGGAGCCTTACATCGAATGGGTCCTTCACAATTAAGTCATTTTAAAGACAACTTTTCAAGCATGATGATATTAACGATTCTCTCCCATACAGACAGATTTGGAAGGCTAGAGTTACACGCCGAATTTCTTTTTTTGCTTGGAAGGTTAGCAGAGACTGTATTTTGACCGTTAATAAACTCAGAAGAAGGGGTAAGATTTTGGTGAATGCCTATTATTTCTGCAAGATCTGCTCTGGTGTGCAATAGTCTATAAACTATGAACTATAGTCTTTAGCCTGTTGGGGGAATTAGCCGCTGATGACAGATTCAGTGAGAGATGAAATTTGGGCATGGAAGTATTCGAGTGGTAGGAGGAAACAAGTGGAACTAATACCGCTTACTATCTTTTGGGCTATATGGAAGAGAGGAACAAAAAGGTTTTTGATAGGTTGATGATATTGATAGTTTTGACTCATTCAAGAATAGATTTTTTCAGATCCTTGGTTTTTTATTGTTGGATCATCCTCTTCATTCAATAAAGGATTTAGGGAACTTCTTGACACTTCAATTGATTTGTAAATTTTTGTAAATGGGCGGGAATCCCCTTGATGCCAATATTAATTCATAGTACACATTTTTTATTTAAAAAAAAGACGGTGTACAGTTGGGAATTTTGGAAATATAATATTTCATTCTTCTGTGCAGGCCAGATCGATATGTTCCATTATTTGGTGGAGGATTTTATGATTCCTCAAAATGGAGGTCAAGTGTGCCATTTGCAGAGCAACTGAGGGCTTTCAAGGAGCTCATCGATGAAGGAAAGGTGATGCCTGTATTACTGTAGATAAGAAACTTATCTTATTATGCTCTTATGTGCTTGTATAATGGATGGAGGCAAAGAAAACAAACCATTATGTGTACTGGAGTACTTGAATGTTAAAAATAGAGTATCCTCTTATAGTGCGCAGATCAATTTGTGTCGCTATCTCCCAAAGAGATTGGATTACTTTTCTATTAGCTTTCTTTTTCTCCTTTGTGTTAGAGGATCTTCCTTGATGTATTTTCTTCTCTCTCTCTTTTTGTTACTGTTTTTTCTTTTATAAGAACAAAAACAACTATTTCAGCTGACATCAAGCTCAATGCTTTTATAATCATTTAGGTTAGGTATATTGGTGTTTCCAATGAGACTTCATATGGAGTGATGGAGTTTGTCCATGCAGCTAAAGTTGAAGGACTGCCAAAGATTGTTAGCATCCAAAACAGCTACAGTTTACTAGTTAGAGGTTTCTTTGAGGGTAAGTTCTTTTCTAACACTTTCCTTTAGAAATTAGCTTTTCCCAGGTAACATTTGACTCCAAAAGTAATTCCTTTCAATACGTACCTAGGGTTAGATTTATGACTTTTTGATCCTGCAATTGCATTCCTATATAGTTAGACCTTACACTTTGATCCAATGTACCATTGTTTTCTGATGCCTTCTTCTCTCATAATTCTTAGTTCCTATATAGTTAAAAACTTTGGAGTGGATACAAGTGGGGTTCATTGGCTACCAAGAGCTGGAAACTTCAACTTAGTCACATATGTGATCTGAACTTGTCTTGAACCTAGTAACTGAAAATTGGATGCTGTAATTGTTGATTGCAGATTGAACTCACAATCTATTTCTTTAATACTAGTTGAAGGTTGATGTTTATTATCGAAGAAACCAATCCTGCAGATAAAAATAATAAAACTGAAATGTCACAGAAGAAAAAAAATTCAATAGGTTCTTCTACCTCAGAAAATCAGCTGAGATACACGAATTTTCTTCTTTTAAATTTTCAAATGTTGAGGCCAGTGTCCAGCTGTGCATTTTTCTGAAGGTAACTCTAACATATTGTAATTCTCATTTGTTGGTTTGTTGCAGTTGATCTTGTTGAAGTATGCCACCCGAATAATTGCAATATTGGCCTACTCTCTTATTCTCCACTGGGGGGTGGTTCACTGAGTGGAAAATATTTAGATAGTGATTCTGAAGCTGCAAGGCAAGGAAGGTTTAACCTTTTCCTAGGCTACATGGAGAGATACAATAAATCACTTGCCAAGGTAATATGGCTGATATATGTAAGTGATAGATATATTAAAAAGCTTTTAAAATCATCATCCTTCGGAAACAATATGCTCAACTAAGAAAAATACTCCTGGTTTGAAGAGGTAATTCTTTTTGCCTTTCATTTGAAAGTAGAACTTTTGAAGCATCAGATACCTTCCCACTGAAATTTTTCAACCATGGATGTACATGAGGCTTCATCTTCAAAAATTTCAAATAGCATAAAATGATGATACATGACTAAAATTTACAAAACACATATTGGATAGAAGTCGAAGTTCTCTAACTGTTACCCTGTGCTACTGATGATGTTTAATTTCTTATGAATAAAATTTGATTTACTTTCCCAAAAGAAATGAAATTTTTTAGGAACTGAAACTCTTTTATTGCATGATTTATGGTAACCACCTTCTAGATTCAGATCAATTAGAAAATGAAGATCACTTGTCTTTGAATTCTTGGATTCATGCTGCATGTATTGGAATTTCAGGAAGCTACGATACAATACCTTGAGCTTGCCAAGAAGCATGGTTTAACTTTAGTTCAGCTTGCACTTGGCTTCGCACGAGATCGTCCATTTATGACTAGTTCAATCATTGGTGCAACTTCTGTGGAGCAGCTAAAAGAAGATATTGATGCTTTTTTAATGACTGACCGCCCTTTGCCAACAGAAGTAATGGCAGGTATTGAAGCAACTTTCAAGAGATACAAAGATCCTACTATGTTCTGAGACTCAAAATTTAAAAAGCCATATCATCCTTTTCTTTTTTTTTTTTCCTGGTATGTAAAATAAATGATGTCTGGGTAAAAATTAATTTATCTTGTTCATCAATTAATTAGTTATTTTTTTTACAATTTTCTACTAGTAGTCAAGACTCATGTTAATCATCCAAGAATATATATAGTAAACAATATCTAGTAGATTTGAGAGTAAACAATATCTATTGGTTAGAAAAAATCCTTATTTGTCTTGTCTATAACATGTTGGATATAGAATGAAGTCGGCAATGGAATCTCTTCTAAATGAACATTATTGAATCTTATTCAATAAAATAAAGACATCTGAGTTTTTCCTTATGTAATAATCTCCTAATATAAGTACATAAGTGTGAACCATTAGTGAATTTGTTAATTTTGTATGATTTATTTTCTTAAACTTATGGAGTTGCTAGTCATTTGGATATAGTATGTTCCATATACGTTTTTTTAAATTTTATAAATTTACATGTAAATTCACATAATTAAAAAAATATGAATTTTTTTAATGAAAAAAAAAAGAATATGGAATTTTTTCATGAAATAACAGAACTTTATTTCATGTATACTGAACGGTATGGCATGGTTCTTTCTCGGACAGAGTTGAACAAAATCTGGTTCACAAATCCATGTTTATTGATTGGTAGGTTAAGAAATTCATATTAATTTTTTATTATATTATGAAAAATATATACATAGATACAAATATTCTAGTTGAACTTATTGAGATTTGCAAATGAATTTTATAAATTAAGATGTTGTAGTCTCAAAATAATAAGTATATCTGTTAAATTTCAATATAATTGTCTTAACATGCATTAAATAATTGTTATATATGTGTTATTTGGCATATTTTGGTATATAATTCATTCATTTTTATTTATATTTTTAACTTTAAAAAATTGAAGTTTTTTTAAAATTTAATATAAAATAAAATTAATTTTATTTGAAGTTAGGGAGAAAAATCAAATAAGAAAGGGAGTGAAAAGAAAATAAAAATAAGAAACAAGTATTTGAAAAGAAGTTTAATTACGTGGAAACAGGGAGAGAAGCGCGCCATTATCTGACCTGAATTCCTTTTGAGCTGCAAACCTCCCTAAACTTCTGAACCCAATTCCTTCCCCTCTCATTTCGCCTTCTCTCTCTCTCTCTCTCTCTCTCTGTACAATCAAACAATCGAACAAACCAAACATCAATTGCTTCTTCATCCATCTTCCCTCTCTCTTACACTTTTTGCATTATCTACTTTACCACTGCGAAAGATATCCTAAAACTTAAAAAACTCAATATCTACTCGTCGTTTCTGCTTATCCGGATCTTCTCCGTATGATCCAGAACACAACTATTTCGAACTTGGATCGTCGCTAATGGACTTGATCTTTTTCTGATTTTACATTTTCTGTTTGTTTCACTTTCTAATTTTAGTTTATTTGGAGGAGATTTCTGTTTCATGAGAGGCCAAACCAGAAAACATATGCATCTATGAAGACAGGGGCACGGGAGTCGCCGCCGCACCACCTGATGCTAGAGCTTCTTCTCCTCCGGCGGTTTCCCTTCAAATTTTTCAGATGGAATGGCAGATCCTGTTAGCTATGGCAACCCTGAGCGTGACATCGAGCAAGTTAGTTCTTGTCTTTTCACTCGTTTCCCCATTCACCCCACACCACATAACTTATCCTGTTTGGTCGACCAAGAAAACTGAGCGAGAAAGACGAACGAAGAAATTATGTGGACTTTCATTGGCTTTAGTTTCTTGCGAAACGAAATTATGTGTATAACAAATCAGACCTACTTTTGCCTGGTTCAATTAGTTCCTAGAGATTATTTTCTTTTGAAGAACCAATAAATACTGCCTGATGCATTGCTTCAGTCAGTTCTTGCTTACCTTCCTTTGATTAGTTTCTGTGTGATTGCTGAGAAATTTGAGTAGAAAAAAGGCCATAGGAAAGGAATTTGCAATTCAATAATTTATTTCATTTTTGTTTTGTTCTGTTTTGTTTTATTTCTTATGAGAAAAGGATTTCACGTAAAAGCACTTGAATAGTGTACTCAGTCTAATTTAGTGCTTGTCACACTATTTTATTTGTTCTAACAAATAATGAGAAAAATGAATAGACCTGTGCCTCGAAGAATAAGAAAAGTATTTCACGTAAAAGCACTTGAATAGTTTACTCAGTCCAATTTAGTGCTGGTCAGACTATTTTATTTGTTCTAACAAATAATGAGAAAAATGAATAGACCTGTGCCTTGAAGTTTTTTCTTTTTTCTTCAATTTTCCTACACGACAACATGTGTAGACCATATTTCTTTTAGGAATCTGCACCATGTTCTATGATCAATAGAATAAGGTAGTCCTAATTTTAGTAGGTGATATTTCAGGCCAGTATTCCAGTACAGTATGATCTCAACACATGCTTGTTTTTGTGCTTGAAGTTGTGCACTGTGAATCAAATATAAGTTGTGTAGTTAGTTCTTTGACCAATGATAGGCTTATACAGTAGAAAACTTTATCTTTTTCTCTGCAACTGGAAATTGGAAAGCAGGAACAAAAAGATTCAATTTTCATGTTTTTTCTGCTGCCTATTAATTGGTTATATGAAGAATAAGGAGCACAAGATGTTATAAAGTAGTGATTTTTTTTGCTGGAGTGTTGGATTCTGTGACTAGAGTGTAATATTGATATGTTCAGCCACCGTGTCCTGCACATTTTATTGGAATAAAATGATTTGCATGGTCCCTTTGTGGCTGTGCATGGTTTTGTTAGGGGATTGATATTTTCAATTATGCGATGGAATTGAGAGGCTATTTTATGGTGACATCTGCTCCATTTCCTTGTTTTGTATTTTGTTTTCTTCTGTTTAGTTGGAGGATTTCTTCTCCTCTCTCTTTTTATTCTCTTTCTCTCTTAAGGGTATCTTCTTCTTGGATTAAAAAAAAATAAAAAGGACTTAAGTTTGCTGGATGCTTAAAATATTTATAGTCTTACATGCAATGAGAAAAAAGATTAGGTTGGAAGGGAACATGAGAGAGAAAAAATCAATCTTGACATCAGCAGAAAATTTTCAAAAGCGGGCCATGTTGTCTTTTTATGGAGCAGATCTCCCACTGCTAAATCCCCCTGAATCTTGTTTTAGTTCCTACTTCTAACAAAGAATGATGATAGGAAGGTATTGAGTAACTTGTCACTTTCAATAATATATATGCAGGGGGAGGAGGTCTCGTAGTAGATCCTTGGAGTTTGCAGAGATATATTAAGAAATAAAATGCTGTGTAATTTCTTTTATGAAGGCTGCCAATTTTGATATTTCTTCAGGGTTTTGGAAAATTTTTAAAATTTCATCCAAGATTAGCCATTTTTTAAAATGATGATTTATGTTGCAACTTGGTGAGTTATTTATTTTTGTTCGCTATTTTTTTTGAAGGCACTTGTTACTTTGAAAAAAGGTACTCAGTTAATAAAGTATAGCCGGAAAGGAAAGCCCAAGTTTCGTCCATTCAGACTTTCATTGGTGAGCTATAATTCTATCAAACTGAGATACTCTTTTTTATTTCTTCTTTAATATTAATGTAAGTATTCAGCTTTTGGCAATATCATTATGTTGATAAAACAGCATGCTGCATTATGTTCAGAATAAATTCCTCTAGGACGATTCAAATCATCGAGTATATGACCTTTCTTTTAAATATACGGTTGAACTTCACATAACAATTCTGGTGTGCGAGACAGGATTGTGCTTGTCCAGATGGAATGCTTGTGTTTGCCTGGAATGTAAGTGCAGTAAATTAGTTGAAAGGGATACAGGAGAGGATCATTTTAACAAGTGTAATGAAGGCGAAATTTTATTGTGACATTTACTGACATGCTGATGTACTAAAGAATCTTTATATTCAATAATCATAAGCTATCTCAATATCCTTACAATGATGCTCCCATATAGGCTACTAATACATCTTAAAGGGAAAACTAAACCTATATAGAAAAATAAGAAAAATAACATAATGGAAACAAAATCATGAATAGGTAGGTAATGGAATTCCTAATAGGAAATTGCTTAAATTTTCATAACTAAAATTTTCTAAAAAGTCCAAGTAATTGTAGCTGCGTATAAAAATATTATATTTATCTTACTACTAGAAAGGTAAGTTCTAGTGCTAAGTTTTTCAAAATTAGCTTTTTCTTGTTCTCTATCATGTTTCATATATTTTAATATGGAGAATTGTTCTTACTAATATTTTTTCACTTCCAGTTAATGAATGGAAAACTGAGAGGAAACATTTATACAATTCTTAACAGAAAATAGAAATTTATTTGGTTATTTTCTCAAGATTTTGCTGAAAATAATTGTTGATTACTAAATCTTTTAGTTCTCATTTGAATCCATTCTGGTGGTCAACTACAATGACATTATCTTCCATCACAACAGGATATGTCCTAAATCGAGCATTTCGTTTTTATTTCTTTTTTCATTCATACTCAGGCATCTTGATGAACTATGATGGAGATATAGAGAAAGATTATACTGGTTTCTGATATATATTTAACTGCTGCTGTATTCTGAGACTGTTTCCAGAGAATTTTATCTGATGTTTTAAAAAAATTTCACAAGTAATCTATATTTATATTGATCCCCTTAAGAAATTTTAGCTCCGTTTATCAATAACTTTAATTAGCATGCCCCCAACTACGATAAACATTGCTTCTTTCTATATGCCTGTCTCTTTCTCTCTCATTGGTATGTTTATCGCTCATAGAGTCATGATAAAAAATGTAACTTTTTAATCTATATGGAATGTGCTAACTTTTGTGTTCCCTCAATGAATGATTATCATGCATCTGCCAATAACCTTAAGTGTATAAATGATTCCAATTTTAGTGTTCCTAACAGGATGAAACGACATTGATTTGGGTCTCTCATGGAGAGGAAAGAAATCTGAAACTATCTTCTATTTTACGGATCATCCCTGGACAGAGAACTGTGAGTC